ATTTTTCTAAGATATAAAAGTGCATATATATATTGAATTTGTTATTCATCCTTTCAAATGATTAATAAAGCTAAACTTTTCAGCCATTACATATTAAACAATAAGTCAAACCAAAAGAGTTCCTTTGCAAAAAATAAACCTGAAAGAAAATTGATAACAATTAAGCACATGAGTTTATACCTGGACATCAAAATAAAGCAAACATCTTCAATGTCTCTATTTCTAAGTTTCTGGCTCTGAGCATTAACCTAGTTGATTAATTTCATTCCATTTTTTTTTCTTCCAATAAGTTCAACTTAATTATAGTTACAAAATGATATAAACTTTGGTAAACTTTAAAATAAATAATTTCATCATGCACTACTTAAAACTATCATGTACATTGATGGTATGTAAATATAACACCATGATACAAACTTGTATATATCATGACCATTCATTCCTGATACTATGTTAGTATAGTTATGAAGCACCAATTCCCCAAATGGCGCGATCCAACCGTTGATTGCTGGCAAAACCAGCGATCCACGTTCATCGTTTATGCTTTCAGCGATGAAGGGTTGATCGTCGCATTTGTAGATAGGCCGCCAAGAGTGCAAATTTGAAATGTTCTGGAATTAATTTAGCACCCGTTGGGTATATATACTACTAATGTCAATTTGTCAATATCTTGTCTACTTGGTGATCAATGATCAGGTTTAAGCTGATAGATGCGAAAAGTTAGGGTTCTTATGGGATAATGCATCCAAATCAAAATCCATATGCTGAAAGCTCATCCATCTAAAACGTTTTAAGTCTTCACCGTCCAGCAGATTAGAATGATACTAATAACTAGGGGGATAGAATGAATATGTGCGAAATCTGGGAATTTCCTATCAAATCAATTAAAGCCTTTTATTAATTCGGCCATTCAAATAACCGTACAAGATCTACTGAGAATAAAGTGGGATCCTGGACAATCACTTTTTTGCTGTAGGTGGCAATTCAACCAAAACAAGTGGCACAATTGGGCTCATAAACCAACTACAATTCGTCACATCAGCACCCCGTCACTTATGAATAGTCTTTAATTTTTTTCTTTAATTTTTAATAGACGATTTCTCTATCGTTTTAAGTCAAAATTTTTTTTTTTTTTTGCACAGATAAATCAGATTAATTGTGTTCTTCAAAATGATATCCACTTTGATATATTTTTTGAAAAATTATTGAGGCATTTTTTACCAGTCTATACCATGGTGGTATTGATTGATATTAAATAAATTATAAAAGCATACTATATGGCATGAAAGCGTACCATGGTGGTATGAACATAACAGACTGTAGGATGATTGAATACATGATAGAAGGAGTATACTAGCTGTCATTTATGACTTTCAACATTGTGTACCACAAGATATCACATTCATGCCATGGTGGTATGGTGTGGTATTTTTTGGTCCTGTATTTTTTCCCCCATAAATTTGTAAATTCAATGATGAACTCGTTCCTTCTGTGCAAATATTTTAAAAATGATTTAAAAATGAAGGATATGCCATATGGTATGGAGTTGGTAATGAGAGGTATGAAATTTTTTTCTCAAAAAATATTTAAAACAGATCTCATTTGGTAGAGCACAACAAACTCGTTCCACCTTTGAAAAAAAAAAAACTGAGTTAGAACAAAGAAGATAAGAATCGATTAAGAAAACTAGGAAAAATAAAATGTCTTTATTTCACAACCCTCATATCTGAATTTTATGGATCCACTTAAATTCAAAAGTACAGATTTAGTTATGGAAGGGGTTATGCACCCTATCCTGAGTCGTCATGATCACTCCGTGGAGGCCAAAAGCCTGTTGATTATTTAAAAATTACTTCCACCAATATGTCCTACAATGTACCATGATCCAATATAATTGTGAGAAAACACATGCTAGTCCAAATTGAGACAGGAAGGCGGTTTGGGTTTAAAAGTCAAGATCCATGAGGTACAATTTCCATAACATTTATTGTTATAATTAAACTGACCTTATAAAATTGATTTGTAACTCATCAATATTGTACAAGATAACTTATAAATGTAAACAATATACGATAAAGAATAGATGCTACTGGTCAACGACGAGTTGAGCTCCTTCTGAAAACCTAGTCCGAGAAGGAAACTTTAAGCTAGATTTCTATGCGAAAAACTCTCAACGGGCGAGAGAAGAACTCTCCCTTATGAGTATTCAAATGGTTACCGTGGTAATTGCCAAATCAAATACGTCTTAATTTTATTAACTATGGAATGCAATATCATAACCAAACAGTCCAAACTAATAGAGCAACCAAATCAACTAAACAAAGTTTAATCAATTTGGTTAATTGGTTAACCAGATTAACCAATATACATCACATTATCATTAAGTGATTAAAATTTTATATTAATGCATCAATATGCAATCTATATTATGAATAAAACCAAACAATCAATACATAGTTATAGTTAACATTAACATAAATATATGCAACTAATACAATTATCTTATGGTCAATAGAAGTATCACCTAACAAAAATATATGTCAATGGTATGAGGTTAATGAATTGTTGTGTTTGTGTGTATCTTAGAAATTATCATAGGCCAAAAAATACCTTCCTTTCAAGTTTCATCCAACATAATGTATGAGTTTTATCTAAATTAGATGTCTGTATGTTGTGGTCTACACTCTATAATTACAAACATACAGTATAGGAACGATATTGCGTTTTACTTTTTATGAGGCTAAAAGGAGGAACGTTTGATTTTTGAGTGGTTATACAAAGTATTAAATATGTGTATATAATGGTTCAGGCTAGCATACGCCCGAACGTACCTTAGCCTACCGTACGCTCGTTTGAGTTTTTCTATTTAGATCAAGAATTAACCGGAGGTTTTGGGCATGATACTATACCCTAACTACTAATGGATAAACCCCAGTTCCTAGTTTTCTAACCCAAATCATGAGATTCGTTTAATCTTAAAATGAAAATAAACAATAATTTCGACAAATCAGAACCGTTGATTTTCATTTCAAGATTAAATGAATATTATGCTTTGGGTTAGTGAATTGGGGACTGGGGTTCACCCATCAGGGGTTAGGATATAGTATCATGTCCCAAACTTTGGTTAATTCATTGTCTAAATAGCAAAACTCAACGGGCGTACGGTAGGCTAAGGGACACCCGGGTGTACGCTAGCCTTTGCCGTATATAATATATATATATATATATATATATATATATAGCTAATTACTTAATTGGAAAATTTGGTTTGACTGGTTAGAAGTGTCTGCAAACAAACCAAACCATTTAAACCAAAGAAGCTAAATCATTTAACCAACCAAACCCATTATCCAAATTAACCAAACCAAATAATCCAAATACTATCGCTTAAAACAGTTACCACGGTAACCACTCGATTTGAACACTACTATCTCCTCAATGCTTTGCATAAATCCCGTGTGATATAAGATTTTGACTTAAACACTTAGTGAAAATAGCACTTGTGTTTAAGATTTTGTACATATCGGCCAAATAAATTTATATTTGGTAGTTTGAGGCTACCTCTACCACATGAATATATTATAAGAAAATTAATATGTGGTGCACATATAAAATAGTGTCCTCACGTTTTGCTCATTAATATTCCAGATAAGCACTTGCAGATGCCTTTTATGATCTAATTCTTATTCCTCTTGCTTTGCTTGCATCCATTTGCAATTGATCTCAACTCGACCATGCAAAGGTCCCCCCGACCCCTCCAATATATACCTTACCTATCTAGTGGGTCTCACTCTCGTACCAATAATCATCTCCCAAAAAACTATTTGTTTAGAAATATTTTAAGAAAAAGTCTATCACAAACCAACGGATCGCAATAACTCGAGTTGTTTGGAGATACCATTATATAGATCTTAATCACTTTCTTACATGCTCCCTGTCATGGGCGTGAAGTTTGCGTGTGTCCGTCATATCATGTGATTTAAGACGAAAGGTTAATAATAGTTAGGGATCGTGAGGACTTGAACACGTAACCTCAAAGTACAAGCCATGTCTGATATCATGTCACAAACCAACTGATTTCAATAACTCAAATCGTTGGAAGAGATATACGTACATTTATAGATTTTTAACCACTTTCTTACAAAAGTCACACAGGTCCTCTCTCCAACTATGTATAAACAGCCCGGAATCACAAATTGACACATGTCATGTATAGAAGGCAACGCAACGCACTAAAAGAAGGGGGTCATTTTATGATGAAGCAATTTGGCCAAATTGTCTCGTAATGAAGCAATTAGGTCAAATAGACCCGGTTTCACAACACAAAATGGAGATGCAACAGTTAGAACGAGGCATTTTGAAATGCCTCATTTTGCATCATTTTTGTGAGGCAATTATGAGCTCAAAATAATATTATGGGGTCGTTTGGATGAGTTGTTGTGTAACGAGTGAGTTATTTCACAATAACTACCCCTATGAGGTATTGACAATAACTCATTAATGAGTTATTTCAAATTAACTCAAATACAAATAACTCATCACCAACTTTTGTAGACAAACAGGTTATTGCACCCAAATGAGTTATTTGGGTGCAAATAACTCATACGAATAACTCATCCAAACGACCCCTGAAGACAATTGGATCAATTTACTCAATTCGGAAATCCATGGAACAAAATTTTATTCCGTTTAAGCCGTCATTCTCGTGAAAGGCCAAAATCCAATAATATTATGTCCTCCTTTCGATTTGGGTGCGCGGGGGTACGAACGAATAAACACCGTAACACAGTAGTGACCATAATCGACGCCGCGCGCTCATGTTACGTACGTACTCTTATCTCCATTCCATCTCAACCAGCTATAAATGCAACCTTCCAGATCGGGCTTTAGACAAATCCTCAAAGCAAACACAACCTTTCCAAAGTTATTAATCCCGACCAAAAAAAAAAACAAACAAACAAACAAACGTTGTACTAGCTAATTAATTACTGCAGCAACATATGGAGGTGATAACGAGGTTGGTGGGGGAGAAGGCGGCGGTGATATTCAGCCGGAGCACGTGCGACATGTGCCACTCCATCAAGGCCCTCATCAGCGGGTACGGGGCGAACCCGACCGTCTACGAGCTCGACGAGATGGGGCCCGAAGGCGAGGCGGTGGACCGGGCGCTGGTGGAGCTGCTGGGCTGCCGGCCGAGCGTGCCGGCGGTGTTCATCGGCCAGCGGTTCGTCGGCGGGGAGAAGCAGGTCATGAGCCTGCAGATCAAGAACCGCCTCGCCCCCATGCTCATGTCCGCCGGCGCCATTTGGCTCTGGAACGGCCACTAATCATCATCGTCGTCATCATCGTCGTCATCAATAATAATAATAATAATAATTATGTTATGAATATGAAGGAAGGCTAAGAAATTAAAGTGTGCTTTGGCATTTTGGGTAGAGGCCTGGGCTCGCTCCTTCCTTCCTTCCTTATAGACGCAAAACGGTACCACAAGTATATAACCTAGGCGACAATGTACTTTATAATGTACGTATGTGGCTGGTTTATGTATTACAGTTTGTATTCAGCCGCTATACATCTTATAATATAATATAATATAATAATAATAATAATGCTTATTAAAGTAATAAAATGGTTACTGTTGCATTAGAGGTTGGTTAAATTGACTGCTAGCTTTAATTGTTGCAGGTAACAATCACCTCTAAATTAAGCACGTGGCTGTTATATAGGGAGAATGCTGTTTTGTTTGATACATGAACATAGTTACTAAAATCTCCCAAGTAGCTTGATTTTGTATTTTTGTTAAAATGATAAGTAGCTTGATTTTGTTTGATACATTTGATTGGTCGGTGAATTTTCACTTTCATTCAAAACTAGGGGAGAATGTTGTTGGTGTAGGCTTGACATGTTACTCCGAACCGAATCTCGATTTATGTTTAGAAAAAATAAAAAAAGTTGTAAAACTATACCGAAGGTCATTCCTTTAGGAGTTTTCGATAGGAAACGTTTTCACAAATCAAGTACGGGTTAGCAAACAATACATCTGATCCTATTGAAGCCGCAGCGAAACGCGGCACAAAATCTACCTAGTATATATTTATAAATAAACGAGAAAGGAGTTGGATTTTACTCTAGGATGTCTTTTTTTTTGTAATTTATAATCTTTTTAGTTCTACTAAACTAAACTATTTAGATAATATCGGATGAACTAGCTATGTTTGATGCTACTAAGCGCAATAAAATTAGTATTCAAGTCCTTAAATGAGTTTAACTTCTAATCTTTAATCGTGATGATGGTGTTACTTTATCCATTAACCTCCTGCATTTTTAAAAACATTTGACTCTAATTTCTTCATAAATTACATTAGGAAAAACGTCATTCGATCAATATATATTAAATAAACTGTGCTTTATAGGGAAAAAAAAGTTAATGTTTGTAAGCAATTATTAATTAAATAGACATTAGGGTTGATTTAGCTGCTTTAATCAGCTAGGTGATAGCTAGCTAGGTGATATAAGGTGGAAATATGAGGTTGGAAAAATGACACTCCCTATTAATTATAATTATTTTTATATTAAATTCGTGTTGCATTTAATAATTTTTGGAAATTAAAAACTCATTTTAATTACATTCTCTTTTTAACTACCACTGCACTTATACAACTAACATTGTGCATGTACACTGAATTCATATTAATTACATTCTTACTATGACAACCAACCCAAACTACTTTTCAAGAGATGAGAGAGAGAGCGCGCGATTGGGTAACTCTTCGTTCAAAAGTTTGAATCACATTCTTAGGAAATAGATAAAGAATTCTAGGCACATACAACTTTTCTCGTTTATTATTGGGTTAATATATTTGTATGGCCCGAACTTTTTACAAATTAAACAACTTGGCCAATCTTTTCTATCTATAACTTAGTGGCCTCTACTATGCATCAAAGTTACGAAATTGATCAAACCCGATATTTGATTGTTATCTTGGATGGTCAAACGCATTGACTAACAATCAACGCGTCACGTCACTGGCAAGTTAGCATAGACCACTTAAATTTTTTTTTCCCACATATTATATACCATTTAAAAAATTTGGGACCCTACATTTTTAAATTTCTTTTCCTTGTTTTCTTCTTTTGTTAAAAAAAAAAAAGATAAACGGTAATAGGTGGAAAAAAACCAAATTCTGTTAAGTGATCTATGCTGATGTGACAATGACGTGGCACGTTGACCGTTAGTCAATATGTTTGACCATCCAAGATAACTATCAAATCTCAATTTTAACCAATTTCATAATATTTTGCATAGTTTATTCCTTTATGCCGTACTTAACAGATTTTGCATAGTTTATTTTGCAAGTATTTATTCTTTTATATAAACTATGTGCACTAATATTTTACATAGTTTATGTCATCCTTAACAGATTTTGAACTATTATACAGGATGCATAAAAAACTTACGCTTTTACGCTTTGATTCACCGCTTTTCGATTATACTCATTTTCCGCTTTTAGGTAGAATCGCGCTTTTGACTGCATTGATTTTGATGCATAGTTGAGGTCACGAAGTTATAGATCGAAAAAAATTGACCAAAATATTTAATTTGTAAAAAATTCGGATCATACAAATATATTAACCCTTTATTATTTTTCCTCTATAAGAGCACTCCTTTCATTAAGAGTCCTCCATAATCAATTATACTTCTAGCATCAGATCTCTGAAGAAATCTTGATAAAATTAGTGCAACTTAACACAGATTCCACATACATCAAACACTCTCTTTCTGTTAAACATGGAAACAGCAATCACTTTGATAAAAGTCATATCGCATACCCACATTTTTTCCCCCATCAACACCATAGCCGAACTCGGTGACATAGAAGTGACCATATATGGTATATAAATTGCTAAAGAGATAATGGAACTAATTCATTGAGGAGGGGCTGAACACGCATGTCCAATAAAATGTGTACGTCGTTGAACACTTGTTGGACATGAATTGGGTTCTCATCCCTGTCCATAATCCATATGCATGCCGGTGGATATTTTCCCCGTCTTCCAAATTTCATCTTTTTGAAAGGCGCCATCGAGCTTTCGGCATGCTTTTTGCGTCTCTCATCCCATTATGATCATCTGGGATTCTTTCCTGACAAAAGAATATAAGTAAAGTTATGGCGCAGTTGGATAAACCCAAACCCTTTCTCCAACTCAGAAGATGCTCATATATAGATAGAACAGAGCCTCCATGATGTTGAAAGAAGTAAAGAACCTACAGGTGGAGACGCAGCACAGATCGCAACGTTTCCACTTTCCACACTTTCTTGGATCATAAGATAGCATTGAACTGTGCATGAAAGAAAAATGTTTACCAGCAAACTTCTGCTCCCAGTCCAACGTCGAGTAGGACTTCTACACTGCTCTCCGATCGACTGGGAACTATGCTCACATTTCGAAGGAAGCTGGCCTGGTGTGGGGTTAATGCTCTTCTCCTGAAAAAAAAGAGTCCCTTAGTTGCATGATACAAAAACTTAATCCTGGAAGTCAGATGCGAAATCGTGTGAGGTATATAACCTATCCACCATTCAGGAACATATATCTGATTCCTGTCTTACAAGTAGCTATCTCTCGCTATCAATTAGCATGATAAAAATAAGGGAATCTAATATGCAGAACCTTTTTTTAATCATAAATGTTAAACTGCAACCATAAGATAACAAACACCCTTCCAGATTAACTAGTATAAATAGGTCTCCATGGATATTCACACATCAACACTTCTGCATCAAACCAAAGCCCCTCTCCAACACATTAGTTCTCTCTTATCGCCTTCCCTCACGTTCATTCAGAGCACTTCCTGAACTCAAACTTCATCGATCATTTCAAGAAGGCAATGGAAATGGTGAACAGGTTAGTGAAAGACAAACCACTGGTAATCTTCACTAAGAGCTCTTGCTGCATGAGCCATTCCATCACTACACTCGTCTCTGGGTTCGGAGCGAACCCACAAATCTACGAGCTGGATCAAATCTCCAATGGTTCCCAGATCGAGGGGGCACTGGTCCAGCTGGGTTGCCGACCCAGTGTGCCAGCTGTCTTCATCGGTCAAAAGTTGATCGGCAGTGAGAAGCAGGTGATGAACCTCCACCTCCAGAACCGACTTGTTCCAATGCTCATGGAAGCTGGTGCCATGTGGCTTTGAAGTAGATTCTTAAATTCTGGAGAAAAAGAATTTATATCATAATTCTGTCTCGTGAGTTCAACAAAAGCGTTAAATAAGCAAAGGGATGATAAAGAGCCTGGGTTTAGTTCCATACCGAGGCTCTGCTCTTTGAACTGTCTTTTTTCAGGATGGCAGGACTGTGATCTTCTCTGTTCAATAAACACACTGTAATATTTTCTACTGTAACAGATAAAATATCAAATAAACAAGATATCTGGCTGCAGATAATGGAAGAGCTACTTTGTAACCGATCGTCAGAAGGCAAGCCAGCTAGAATATCTATATGGGTGCAATGATATCCACAAATCAGCCTACATTCTAAGATAATTACTGCTACTATCCTGATGAAGAATAAAACTAAAGCACAGAAATGCAACTTTTGACGGGTAATTGAATTAAAGCTAACGAGACACTGAGCAAGTTGTGAAGCAAAGAATGAAGAATGATTGATGATGATAATGAAACTTCCTAATCCATATATATATTCTTGTTCCTCGATGGAAGAGGGATCAGTTGGCAAAGGCAAGCAACCGCATCAAACGAACGTGTCACTCGCACAATCATTTTCGGGTGTTAACAACAAGTACACACCAAAAGAAAAAAGATAAAACACTCCAGCATAAAAGCAATGAGAACAAAGTAAAGACTACATCTTATCTTGCTTGGGTGTATGTACAGATATCACATATCCCAGATGCAATCATCCACCTGCAAAATTATGTGATAAGAAATTCCCAATGTCTGTCATGTCATTCTCAGCCAACTCTGGCTTTATTTGAGCTGATTTCCTCATGTTTCTAAGCATCCCACAAAGACCACTGTATTGAGAAACATCTGTTCGATTCTGTAGATGCAAAACAATGAGCACTAGCAACCACCCACCCCCATCACACACAAAAAGAAAAACACCCTACTTTTCTTGTCTCTCTTCTTCTTCATTTTTTTCCCCAAGTCCCTCTTTGCTATGGATATTCAATTGATGGAAGCAACAGAATAAACCATCGTCTATAGTTTAGGGAGAATGGAAACATCAGCATCCCAGCAAAAATGATGACCCAGAAGAACAAAAGATCTGAGAATTACTCCATTAACATAAATCCATTAAGGATTCAACTTTGTCATTCACAAGCGTACACAAAACCGTCAATAGACGAGAATTCCAGGATTTGCATGCATCACCAATTCACCACACATATTTTTTTTGCTGACAACTATTGAATTTCTTAGACGAGAATCAAGACTGCGAAGTAATCAAACAGAGACACTGACAAGAGCTTACAGAAAACAACTACGCAAGGATAAATCATTTCTGAATAAAATCCTTGAGAATGTTCTGCTCAAGGTTAGCATTCCTTCGCCAGTTCTCGACGGCCCGTCGGACAGCAGCATCTGCTTCGCGTATCTCCTCGTTTGAGAATTTGTGCTCGATTATCCCGAGTGGCCCAGGCTGCAGCACCTTGACCACCGTTTCCACCTCTTGCTCCAGCTGCCTGCGAGACAGGGGAAATAGACCATGACATAAACACAAACAAAAATGGATATCAGTAGACATGAGCGTCAAGAGATAAATGCTCGTCAGAATTTCCGAATTCTAAGGTGAAGACGGCTGAGCGGCGTTCATAATACCAGAGCAAGAAAACCCTAATCGTCATCGACTAGGAAAGAAGAAGAGAAGGCATGAGCCCACCTGAGAAGGCCTGGAAGCCTGAACAAGCTACCGGAGCTCGAAAACGACCTGGCCATAATTCCAAGTGTCAGCTACCTGAAATTTCTCCGGCGAGAGATTGAGAGAGAAGAAGCCGAGGCTTTGCAGTTCTGCACTTCTGTTAAAATTCAGACAGACGGCCACAGGCGCCAATCAGTCGAGTGGCGTTCACTGCAACAGCCAAACTAAAACGCGACCCTGCGAAACGAAACGACACCGTAACCAGTACTTAAAAAGAAGAAAAGATAAACGACTTCAACGGGGATACAGAACTAGGGGTGAAAGTCGGTTTGGTTGCAACTTTAACCGAACCGATATAGTGGTTAATCGGCAGTTGATAAGTGTCTGGATGGTCAATCGAATCCGATTATCGATTGTGCTAATTGGTTAGCCATAGCTGCAATCGCAAATGTCAATTCGGTGAGACGCTCTACTGATGGGAATGTCTGAATTAAATAAGGAAAAATGGCGGGTGAAAATTAAATGAGGGCGAGCTACCGAAAATCTACCTCGCTCTTCTCCATTACGGCATTACCCCCTCTCTTCTCTCCGCAAAATATCCCCCTCTCAGGTTTTTTTTATATATAAATGGATGCAGAGCACCTCACTCTTCATTCAACATCGAACAAGATTCAACGATCCCCAAACAATCGTATAAGATGAAACAAGTCAAAGCAGGATCAGAACAAGAAATATAATGACACCCCAGGGGTAACATATGCACTCAGCTAGCAAGATGGTCCTCACACTTATTTCTCTCTCTAAAAACATAGAAAATATTAACTTCCCATTGGTGAGTGAGGAGCTCCCTGAATCTCTGAGTAATGGCCTCATGATGGTGGTCTAGTGCCTTCGAGCTCTTGAGTAGTTGGATCGCACAAAGAAAATCTAGCTTCACTCGGACACGCCTGAAACCCATGTCCCAAGTTAAATCAGGTCAAAATGATCAGACCATTAACTCTCAATCCACTTACTCGGAACAAACAAGCTAAATTGGGTTGACAACCAAATAGTTTGTTGTGTGGGTTAGGGCTGGGCATGCGGGCGGATCATCCGCGGGTTTGGGCCGACCCACCCGCATTTGACCCGAATTTCGTTAAGTGGGTGGGTGACGGGTTGCGCTAGGAGCCATCCGCCGGGTGGTGGCTGGGTTGTGGTTGAGTGTGCGGGTGACCCGCTCAACCCAACAACAAAAAGATCAAAGTCGTTGGCGCTAGAGAGAGGAGAGTGGAGACGTTAGATATAAACTCGGACTGCTCCTTGAGTTTGAACCTCAAAGCCAACCTTCCAAATAGAGATTCTCTCTTCTTCCCTTTACTTTTTTCTCTAATTCTTGTGCCTAGATCACCGCTCTTTCCTTTGTGGAATTATTTTCCTTAGTTCCTTGCACCTAATAATCGTCTCAATCTGTAGAAAACTCTTTCATAATAGAATTTCTATCCAATTTAAGAACTAATTCGACATTTTTCGCCCTATTTCAACTTCTTGTTTCCCTCGATGATTCTCTTCACCTATTATCATGTCAAGTTGACTCCTTTATATTATGTACATTGTGATGTGGGTGAACCCACAAACCCACCCGCATCATCCACCATCCGCCCGACCCAACCCGAGACTAAATATGGGTGGGTGGTGGGTTAAAAATTATCAATCCGTTTAAGCGCGGGTGAGTGCATTTTATGGTCAAAATCCACCCGACCCACCCAATGCCCACCCCTAGTGTGGGTCTCTTACCCCAAAGGCCCAAACGTTGTCTTGTCGATTATTCAAAGAAAGAAGTTGCCATATCCGATTGCCCATTTGATATAAACATATGAACATTATAATGACTTTTCATATTCAGGTTATATCGCGTCAAAACGATCAGACCATTAACCATGGTTGTCATGCCGATGGCATGTCGGTCGATTGAAATTGGTTCAACTAGTATCGGTCAAGAAACTAGCATGAACACTACCATATGATCGGCATGATCAATTTAAGTATTTTAAGTAAAATGACTTCGTTTTAATGAATTTAATTAATTAAAAAATTATTTATGAATTTAAAAGTTAAATGTTGGTGTTATTTGTTGGATTCAAGTTTTAAACGTCAGCTTATTGACGCTAAATGTTGTATTAAAATGTTGATGTTAATGAATTTTTATATTTTTATATAGTTTGTTAAACTAGTATAAATCGGCACAAACTAATTGTACTACAAGTAGAACCATTCCACTTATTAAACCGACCTGACTATATAAACCGGTTTAACAACCTTGCCAAGGACTCAATTCACTTACTCAGAAGTCGGAACAAACGGGCTCAGCCGGGTTGACAACAGGATAGTTTGCGGTGCGGGTCTCTCACTCCAAGGCCCAAACGTTGTGTTGGCGAAAAGAAGTAGCCTTATCCGATTGCCCGTTTCAATTTTATCTTCTCAAGTCTCCATTTCCTGTTTTCCATCTTCGAATATCAACTGTCTGTCACAGGAGCCGTTCCCATAGCTTCTACTTGTTACGGTTACCGCCATGGCTACCCTGACGACGAGCTCAACAGCGCGAATACTTCATAATCACGAGAAATTCACAGTAACAAGACGCGCTGGCGGTTGTGCCTTCTACCGACCTCCATGTCCGGCGCGCAAAACTCCAAGAATCGTTTGCATGGCAGTGAGTTCGATTCCCCTCTTTTCTAAGATTCGGGTGGTTTCTCTGAATTGAAAATTGCCTGCGGAAACCATTGGTCGGTTTGCTCTCTGCTTGCCCGAACCCATATGTGTGCTTGCTTGTTTGTTTGTTTGTGTTCTGTGCGAATGGGCGCTTTCTGAAGCTAATTTTGAATTGCAGGAACCTTTCTTGATAGCAAAGCTTCAATCTGCTGAGAAGACATGGAAGGACTTATCGGTATGCTATTGCTGTCAAAAGTGAATTTTTTTTTGGAGCCCGGAAACGTTGTTGTTTAACCTAGATTGACAGTTTAGTTAAGCTTGGATTATAATTGGGAAAACTTGGTTTCAGGTCAAGCTTGCCGACCCAGACGTTGTTTCAAATCCTAGCGAGTACCAAAAATTGGCACAGTCAGTGGCAGAGCTTGATGATGTGGGTGTCTTTTGCACCTTTGCTATGATGGTTTTAGATGCTAAACTTAAACACCTTCCCTTTTCGAATTTTAGATTCATGTTGTCTTCCTGTGCACATAGGTTGTGTCGACATTCAGGAGGTTCAAGGATTGCGAGAATCAGTTAGAAGAGACGAAAGGTGTTATACACTTTTCTTGTGTTTCCTCTCGAAGCTTTTATAAGAGGGAGAAGTTTTTGCTAACGTTTGTCATTCTCTCTGGCAGCTCTTGCAAAAGAGGTTGGAGATGACAACGATATGGCAGAGATGATAGCATCTGAAACTGAGTCTTTATCTAGGGAACTCAAAGAGCTCGAGGAAAAGCTTAAGGTTTTCACATTCCATCTTTCTGCTTGTCTGGTTTGTCAAGATTTTTCATAAACGCGTTCATTGTCGTGTTAGAGCTTACTTTAACTTGCTGAGCGTCGTTACTCCTTGTATAACTTTGTTGAGCAAGTTGGTGACTATCGGAATGTTCAAGATAAATGGAATTTACCTTGATATTGCAAACTTCTGTTTCAGGGCCAACGCAGTGCTAGCCTCCATTTTTTCTCTATATATGTATTGTTTCGGAATTTTTCTGGTACTTCCATTCCTATGCAAGTCAGCCTCTCATTTATCAATTTTTTGTATTTTTTTGGCTTACAGTTAATGCTTCTTCCTAGCGATCCGCTCGATGCAAGAAATATAATGCTTGAAGGTACTTGGTTAATTTCTTTTTTATTTGGATCCACCATCTTACTGTTTTTAAAATTATACATCAAGGTGTAATAACCTTTTGGACCTGACATATGTGTCTAGTTGAGTGTTTTATCTTGACTGTGGAATTGTCAGTTTTTATAACAACATTATGGGCAAAGAGGATAAGCAGAGCTTTTTGTTTATCACATATGCGAAGTTTGTTTCATTACAATGGCCATTTAGCTGTGCTGAACGCTTCTGGACTATGAAAATCCTATCATTCTCATGTCACACAGTGAATTATTGTTGGAACTTGGATAATCGGTAGCGAGGCGACGTTCTTTCTGTTCTTGATATGCCTTTTGAGACACCTGCTCAATGGAGCAGCTACCATGGGAGCATTGCACCCTTTAAATAATAGATCCTACTTTGCTTACAATCTTCTGTTCTAGACTGACAATATGGATCCATTTATCATCCTTGCAGTAAGGGCTGGGACCGGTGGTGATGAAGCTGGGATTTGGGCTGGTGATCTTGTAGGTACATGCTCCTATTTTCCTTTCAGATCCATGCTTCTTTTTGTTCTTAGATCCAACCCAGCCTGGCCTTCGGGGCAACATTTAGTGATAAAAAAAGGAAACAGAAATATTTTGGTTTCTTTGAGTATAGCATGTGAAGTGCGAGTAGAACCATTTTCGAGTTCGCGCTGTAGAATGAATGCACACTAATGCAATCTTATGTCGATGTGAAGGTTCGCATGTATGAAAAGTATAGTGAGCAGAACTCATGGAGGTTCTCAGCTGTGTCGAGCTCTGAGGTAAATCGACTGTACCATAATATTTATCCTCAATATCTTGCTTAAAAGACTTTACTACCCTTTTCATATTATTTTTAGGCTGAAAAAGGCGGATTCAAAACCTATGTGATGGAGATCAAGGGAAAGCGTGTTTATAGCAAATTAAAGTATGAATCTGGTGTCCATCGAGTTCAACGTGTTCCTCAAACCGAAACACAAGGTCGAGTCCACACATCCACCGCAACAGTAGCAATCATGCCTGAGGTCTGTCGCATTTTTTTTCTAAAGTTGCAAATAAACATAGCATGGTTATCATTCTGCATGATTGTTGATTATGCCAAACTCAACAATTTCGGCTAGTTTATCCGTGAGGAAGCAATTATGACTTCTCTTGTTAGGGGCTAGCATGCATTTTGCAGATGGTAGTAACTATCCCTGTTATCTAATATATGAGGTGCATTCTTGTCGATTGCCGCACCAATGTGTCAGGTCTGAATTAAAGCTCTATTACATATCTGGTGGATTCTTTGACATACATCAATGTTGATCCGAGCTACCTTTTTCTAGGTTTCTCTTCTGTGTAGAAGTTATCATTACTGCTTCTGTTACACTAGTCCATTGTGAGCGAAGCATGGAGACTGATCATTTTGTTGTTGAGAGTTTCTACATGTAACTGAATACTGATTGCTTTATCAGTAAACAGACCTTAGCCATTGTTCTTATGTGCCTAGCGGCCACTTTAAACTTCTCAATATGGACTTTAAAGTTCCAAATATGCTGTAGCAAGTGAGCATTTGCTGTGGTTGGTCCTCTGATGGTCGTTTTAATACTCATTTGTATTGGTCATCTCTTACATGGATCCTTAACTTTTGTGTTAACTAGTGCAGGTGGATGAAGTTGAGGTGGTGATTGATCCAAAAGATATTGAGCTTTCGACAGCAAGATCTGGTGGCTCTGGAGGTATGAAGCATCACTTGCTGAACTTATACGTTGGATAGACGTCATCTGTCATGCCAAGCTGTCACCCGTTTTACTGGAGAATTGGCCAAAATGGTCACTTTAGCTATAGTGTTTCTGCCAAATGGTCACTTTAGAAATCGATAAATGATTATGTTGCACCAAGCGCTATATCTAAGTTGCCCATTTTTCAAATCTTTCATGTAATCACCAGTCATCTCTGCATTGTTTCTTAAATGTTTGTTGGTCCTGCAGGGCAAAATGTCAACAAGGTGGAGACAGCTGTAGATCTTGTTCACAAACCAACAGGAATCCGCATCTTTTGTACCGAAGAACGGTCACAAATGCAGAATAAACACCGAGCCTTCCAGCTTCTGCGTGCAAAACTGTGAGTTTCTTATCTTGATTGTTTGCAAGTGAGCAATACTAGGAATTGTACAAAGGAACACATTAGTAGTTTACTCTAATTTGGTTGGTCTCCAGGCTTAGTTTCCTTGACTTCTATACTTCTGAACATCTGTTTCAGCTACGAGATTCAATTGAGGGAGCAGCAAGAGAAGATTAGGAGTCAGAGAAAATTACAGGTACATGTTACTCTGGGTTCATATGGGATCTTTAATGCATACTTAGAGCGGACAAGGATGATGGTTCTAATACTTTTTAGCTCCACAGTCTAGTTTTCTAATACATTTCCAATACTTCAATGCTTGTTGAATTTTGGTGATGAATTTGCCAGCCAAATCCCAAGATGATGGATTTAAACAACTCCTTTGTTTGTTAGGTCAAAAAATTGGAAGCCAAATCCATGGACCCTACGGATTTGTGAATCCTGCCTTTTATTTGGGATCACGGTGTGAAACGCTATAAATCAATGATAAAAAATCGACTAACAAACAATTGACTCGTTCAAATCTATAATACAACAATTCGTTATAAATTAAAAGGTTCTCAAAACCCTCATTTTCATATCCAACAAGCAGATGACCCATGTTTGTGCTCATGATTCATGCTTTTGTTTTAGGTATATCTCTAGTTAAATTAACTGAAGGATCGTGGATAAACCAAATTACTTAGGTTCTTAACTTGATATTGAGGTAGGAACCTTCTATGATCCTTTTGATTATATAAGGGTTAAAGACACATTTGGTCACTGAGATTACAAAATCGGGACATGTTTAGTCACTAGAAAAAGTTAATATCAAATTTGGTCACTACAATTACTAAAACTGGACACATTTAGTCACTCGCCGTTAGTTGCCGTCCAACTCTGTTAAAAGAGTTCGTTATGTGCTGACGTGGCTAACGTGAGCGCCTAGTCAGCGCCGTTTTGGGCCGGAAATGGTCAAACCCGACCCGCCACGTATTAAACCCCAACCCAATCCATTAACCCAACCCGACCCAGAAATAAACCCTAACCCACCTAACCAGACCCTCTATCTTCTTTATATGGCATCCCTACTGCCTCCTCCTTCGTCAATCAAAGTGTTGAATTTCTTCCGCCTCCTCCTTCTTCAATCGCCTCCTTGATGTCCGCCACCCACGATGTCCCGGTCTCCGTCTCGATGTTGACTGGCTTCGAGATCGCCCATCTACTCGGCTGACCCGCGAGTTTCCTCCTCTTGTAAAAACAGAGCAGCCAGGTCGCGACAGAGGATAGGAGGACGAGAGCTAGTGCTGATGAAGCAGCGGCGATGATTACCTCTCGATGCTTCCTCGATTTCCGCCTGGTTTCCTTCTTGTGGGAGGGCTTCGGGTTTCTGAATCTTGTGTGGCGTGGATTGGGTTCAATTTTGGTGATGGTGGTGGTTGGTTAGGGTTTGGGTTTGGGTTTGATTGGTGTTGGAGTTGAGTTTTTTTAGGGATAATCGGAGTTTTGGAGGAATTGAAAACGAGACAACTTCCGTCATTGATGAAAGCATATTTCCCGAAAGCATACCTCTGCCGTTGATGTCGTCGGAGATCCTACAGCCGGAACACGAGACTACTTTCGCCATTGATGTCGCTGTAGATAAAGAAGATAGAGGGTCTGGTTAGGTGGGTTAGGGTTATTTCTGGGTCGGGTTGGGTTAATGGATTGGGTTGGGTTTAATATGTGGCGGATTTAGTGACGTGGCGGGTCGGGTTTGACCATTTCCGGCCCAAAACGGCGCTGACTAGGCGCTCACGTTAGCCACGTCAGCACATAACGAACTCTTTTAACAGAGTTGGACGGCAACTAACGGCGAGTGACTAAATGTGTCCAGTTTTAGTAATTGTAGTGACCAAATTTGATATTAACTTTTTCTAGTGACTAAACATGTCCCGATTTTGTAATCTCAGTGACAAAATGTGTCTTTAACCCGATTATATAAATATGAAGTTGGTGATGCAAGTTATTATCTTGACCATTTAGTTTTTCCTAAATGGTTTACATTTTACGGTCCACTAAGATTTTCATTAGAACAGGATCCTAGAAACCAAATATTTTACTTTTAGGTTTAATTATTGTGACTATTCTACAGTCACTGATTGGACTATAGGAATACATTTTAGATACATTCTCCGTAATGAATGTCTTGTCATGTAGGTTGGTACTGGTGCTCGTGCTGAGAAGATTCGCACATACAACTACAAGGTATGTGACTTATCCTGCATCTTGTCTGCTTTGTCTTTGCCCCCCATGGTATGAGCTGATCTAGTGTGGAAAATGGCTCTTCCATCCTTCATTTCTGCCATGGAACAGGGAGCTTTCATCAATAAGATATGTTTACTTCTTTTTTTGGGGTGGACATGTTATTGATTGACATCACAAATTTTTGCTTCATTTACATGTAGTTGAGTTTGTGTCTCTGATTACCTATACGTACGAGTTTATATGTCTCCTCTTTAATCATTTATGGACATTTGTGTGACTATTGATGAATCAGGACAATCGGGTAACTGATCACCGGTTAAAGATGAACTATGAGCTGACTTCTTTCCTTAACGGAGCAATAGAGGATGCAGTACAGGTTCTCCCTTCTAAACCTCCAGTCTTGCTCCTATTCAATTGTTGTTCTCTGCTTCGTTATAACTTGTCCAGTTCCATTGGTAACAAGATTGGTTACATGTACTTGATTCAATAATTACAGCACTAGAAGGATACACTTTCATATTTTCGCGGAGAATGATACTGTTTGTTTGCAGGCTTGTGCAGCTATGGAGCAGAAGGAGCTGCTGGAGGAACTGGCAGAGTCGGTAGCCTCACCTGTTAGCTGATTCATGCTAGCTGTGAAAGGAATGTACAGGACACAGGAGCTTAGTCCTGACCACTTTGCTTTCATACTCTGCCATTTGCTTTCTGAACTGTACACGTAAAGAGTTGAAATTTTATGGGGGGTTTGAGGAATAGATTGCAAGAGGTGAAAAATATGGTTTCTTCTCTCCCGGATGTTGAAATTTGTAGTTACTAGGATTATGTATGGCACGATGCAATGATGAATTTCACCAAACGGATGGAGCAATGGTCAACAAACGCATCATTTATAGTTCATTGACAGTGAAAATGTATCAACAATTCAATATGTTTTACGCAATATTTTAATGAAATTGTATAGATAAGCGGAAAATTGAATTGAAGAGTTTCCAATGCAGTCAAAAGTGTGATTTTAGAAAACTCTTGAACGCTTGGTATCTTGTTAGAAAAACTAGAGAGCGATTAACCAAGAAGATCTCTCAATATGTGAACTTTACTTTCTAGCAAGACCTCTCAACCCACATTCTTGTAACCTGGTTTGACTACTGTTTGCTGCTAAAATATTTTTGGCCTAAATTAAACTTAACGTTGTTTAATCTGAGCATCTAATTGGCTTTAGATTGGCCAGCCCAACTAATCATGAGTTGTTTGGGGTAGTAGGATTTGCATACCTTAGTTGTTTTGGCTCATGATCAACAGCACCGCAACACCAAGTGGCATTGATGCATCATGAAAAACTATGGTGCGAGTCCATTGACTCCGCCGTGTTGTTTTTTGCAGTGAGCGAGTTCTGAGAATGATGATGTGTACGCGAGTTGTTTAGTAATTTGCAAGTGTGTTCCACTATAAACGACACCGTTCCAGGTTTGATAATGATACGGAGTTTAACAACAACGTTGTTTTATCTAGAGAAATATTGTGAAAGAAATGACATCACAATGTGATCTGAAGCACCTGTAGGTAGGATTATGGAAATGTTGGGGATCTTTCTTGGCTGAACCAGGTACTTCAGAGAACACACAATGTGATCTGAAGCACTTGTGTCAAGTATCCAAGTATGCTGATCAGAGGAATCATGAGAAGTAGCTAAGGTAAATTTACCTGAGGTGTTGGGATTAGTAGTAGTCCGTGTAGCAACAGAGAAAGAAGGGCCCGAACTTGGTTGGACCTTACCCATTTCCTTTTCCTTCATGATGTGGAGGAACTTCTCATATTCAGCCTTGGTTAATCTGACTTCATCATTGTTTGTGCTTGTGCTTGTGGCATTAACAGATACCTTGCCCTTGTAGCCAGGTCTTTGAGGATAGCCATGCTTCTGGAAGCATTTGTCCTCAGTGTGGCTTTGTTTTTTTGTAGTGTGTGCATTCCAATGGCCTGCTTGGAGGAGCTGGTGCTTTTGAGTTGCTCATACCAGGAGGCCAGCCATGCTTGTGGTACCAGGTATCCTCTGTATGTCCTGTGAACTTGCAAAAGGTGCAGTAGGATATGGGTTTTCTGCCAAGATAGTTTGGGTTTCCTTGAGCAGCAAAAGCCATGCCTTCAGCAGTAAGAGTTTTCCCTGTCTGGGAACCAGAAAGTTGTCTCTCGTGTTGCAACATGCGTTGAAAAACACGATCAATGGGTGGTAAAGCCTCACCAAACAGATCCTGTGACCTTACACTTGTGAAGTTGTCATTCAGGCCTCGTAAGAATTGGATAACATAGTTTGTGTCTCTGTACCCTAGAACCAGTTGCATAGCTCTACAAGTGTTGTGGCTGTTTGTAGCGCACGCACAAAGCTCTATGGGCTATTAGTTGTCAAGTTCATCCCTTAGAGCTATGAGATTTCCATAATACTCAGTGACAGATAGGTTACCTTGTTTCAGGTTGCAGATGGACTCGATGATTTCAGCAATTCTGACCATGTCACCTTGGCCATACCTGTCACGCAGGCTTCTCCAAGCTTCCATGGTTGTCTTGCAGGACATGATTGTCTTTCGTATGCCAGGATCAATAGCTTGCAAGGACCATGACGTTGTTTCTGATCCAGGCCCATGTTGTGGCATGTCCTTGTCCTGGATCTGGAATGGAGCCATCTACAAACCCCAGTTTGTTCTTTGCACCCAGGGCATTGTGGAAGGCTTTGCTCCAGTAGTTGTAGTTGGTGGGGGTGAGCTTTTCTGCAACGAGCTGGAGGCCAGGTTGCTCAGATCCATGGAGGTAGAAGGGGTCAGACATTGGGTCGACATTGGAAGGGGTGGGTGGTGATGCTTCAGTTGTTGCTACAGATTGTGTTGCAGCAACCATTGTTGTTGGTGGTGGCGGCTAGGATTGAGGCTCTGATACCATGTCAACCTTTTAGGATTGGAGAGAAAAGAGCTTAGTTTGTTTCATTGATCTTCAGCTTATATAGCTGGCTTGTTCAACATACAGACAGATTGGGGAAGAAGACAATACTTGTGTCTTAAGCAAGTACATAGCCAAAACGAAAAGAAACTAAAATAGAAACATCATGGATTAATTGGATCTTTGCCAGAAACGACATCACTCCAGCTTCTGTGTTTGCTTGTGGGAAAGACGCCGTTGGGGGCAACGGACTCTGCCTTTTCAACTTGAATTGATATCATCTGCTCGACTGAGGTCTTCTTATTATATAGTTTTCTTGTTGACCATTGGCATTGATTTCCTTTGATTGATTTGATTGCCTCCATTTTTGGCAAGTTTTCAGTTTTGAAAATTCTCTTTTGGTGCAGCTTGCTCGTCGAATTCTTTCTTCAACGTGCCATTTACAGGCTTCACTCAACATCTTTATCCTAAGAAGAAAGTGAATCATTTCTATGGAAAACTAAAATTGACATAGTTAGTTGTTTTATTGTGAACTGGTAAAAATCAAGTTGATAACTATTGACTTATTATTAGAGAATAAATAAGTAATCAAAGCAATTAATTAGTTGGCTGGTCTTAGAAATTAATGAATTAGTTTATCAAAATAATCAAACAGAGCTTATGATCTCACAAGTCTATCATTCTGTGGAGAGAGTCATTGAGCTGATGTAAAATGAATCACAAATTACCTTAAATGAACTAATAGTGGTGGTATGGAAGTGTATCATGACAGTATGAATATATCATATTGTAGAATGAATGTATGCATGATAGTATGAATATACTATCATTTACCACCTTTCAACACAATCTACCACCAGTTATCACCATATAATAGAATGGTATATTTGCCTTTTTTTAAAAAAATTAAAATTAATATATCACTGAACCTGGTCCCGGTTCTTATGTGTGCAATTTTTTTCAGAAGTTGATTTTAAAATGATGGTGGTATAGAGTGAATCAGGATAATAACTAGTGGTAATAGGTGGTAAAGATTGTTTTTCTCAAAATATATAAACAAACAGATATCATTTTCGGCCACCTGATTAGCTTCTTTTAAGTAGTGAGTCAAAGAACATTGCCATGGTCGGCAAAGAACTTTGCACTAACATACTATTTGACTCGAATTGTCTAAAATTTAAAAATCTATGATGTCCAAAAATTTCAATTGGACCAATTTGGTCAGGCCCATGGGATGACAAGGGGAAGGGAATTGAGAATAATGATCTGAGTTAGAAGGAAATCAATTTGTTTTATTTCAAACTTTTTTTATTTCAAATAACAAGGAAATTCAATTATAAGATTTTTGTTTTCAATTTTTATTTTATTTTATATTCATTTTATTAAAGGTCAATTCAAGGTGTTGGGCCAAATTGGTCCAGTTAGTTTGGAATTTTGAACATGATAATATTTTTTAGAAGTTAAAGTAGTTAATTAGTGTAAAGTTCGGATCAAACTAAAAAATTAACCGAAAAAATAGGAAAATTAATAAGTTTTGTAATGTCACCATTGCTTCTAATTCTATTAAAAACTAAGACACTAGATCTAATTATGAATAACCAAACGTTACACATCCTATCCTATACCTAAAAATCATTCCTAAAAGGTTAGGATGTAAGCTAGTTAATGTCAAACGAATAAACAAAAATTCCCTGAACCACCAATTGTACAAGTTTATTTCTTGAGAAATTGCCCATAAACCAAATTGTCCATTTCAGTTACACTGAGAAGAAGAACCCATCCCTAACATTCTGCTCCACATTACTGCGTCACCTACCAGTTGCTGCTGAACAATTGAAACCAACCAAACTATGGGCCAAACAAAAAAAAAAAGCCAAACAAAATAAAGTATTACAAACTTCATATTAGCTGGAAAACGTAAGCAACTTAAATGAAGAGGGCGAAGGCCGTTGGAATTGATCCTGTCCATAAAACTGAAGGACACTTTTTTTCCACTGCTGTTCTTCTTCAAGAACTACCACTGCAATTTTCACAGTTAGCCCCTCACATCTAGTTCTTGACGAGAAAATTAATCAATTGAATCATCAAATTCGTCTCGCCCCACAGCAAATTCAGCTCGACACGAATTTCCACCACTTGTAAAAACCATAGCCGTAAACAATGCTGTAACCGATCAGTCTAAGAGGGTAAGTCCTGCTCCTGTTCAAAAACATATCCATATTAGCATATGAACGGCACGAGTAATACTACGAGTACTGTTATGTAACTTGATAGAGTTATATTTCTTATCAAAATAGTAGAAGTTAGGTAATCGAGTTCTCATTTTTTTCAACATGTTAACACGCCCTCTTGAATGAAAGCCAACAGAGAAGATCTCTCAGATTATATGGGAACTCTAATATCATATCTCAATAACCAATTTCCAATAACACGAATTGTCTGAGACAGATTTAACCGTGAATCTTATACCACATTTTAACACAAACAATCACCTTTTTTTCACTCAATTACCTGAGGCCAGATCGTCTGGAGAGAGCCAGCTTCTCCTGTTCAGTGACGGGATAGAACCAGCGAGAGTAATCTCTGTCGAAGTAATCCCAATCGGGAAGAAGAATGCCCGCGATCCCAAGCATACCCACCATGTAAGTAACTCCAACTTTCCTCATGGAGTGCGTCCAGATGCCCACCGCCGCCATGACTGCGGCCAGCGCGATGAGACTGCCACGAAGAGCTGCATCGTTGTTGTTGTTGTTGTTACTATTATCAGCCATCTATGAAGCAGAGATGTTGCAGAGCAAGGAAAGATGAGAAGGGAAGGAAGGGTGGAGAGGAACAGAGAAATGGGCTTATTGGGTTAATCGGTTGCGTCTATGATTCTTTCGGGTAGGGGAGGAGAATGGGAAATGGGGGGAGAGGGAGAGGGAGTGGTTACCAGTTGAGAGGGTGGGGATGGCAGGAATTAAATGCAGTGATGCGCCTTTTCTGACGAACTGCATTAACTTCTTCGGCTTAGCCATCTGGCAAACAATCCCACAGCATTTAGGCCCTTCTTTATGCTTGTAATTGGTGAAGAGAGGAGTAGGGTGGGCATCCGGTTTGGGTTAAGTCTTTCAAATCGAACTGATTTGAAACCGAATTATATACTAATCGGCAAGACAGGCAACATATCAAGCTGTAGTAGTAGACACATGAATTTTATATAGGCGTGTCCCCTTCAAATTTAAATTAACTTAATAATTACAAACTAAAAAATATTATAAATAAGTAAATATCTGACCAGTTTAAGGCTTTAAGCTACCGCAAAAGTCCTTTTAATTCACATAATGTAATTTATCATTTTTAACACAATAATAATAATTCTTAAGATCATGTAAGAGAAAAGAATCAAAAAAGTGATCAAACTCTTTATGATAAAATCGTGTGTTAGAATATGATAGGGACAGAGGACAGTCCGTGGGTTTAATTTTTATATTTTGAAAAAATTGGGGATAAGGCTACGCGTTTATAATTACATTTATGTTCAAGATACGAAAACAAATGACGGGCTTGGTGGCAAGATGAAAATTTATAAAGTTGATGGCAGAGGTATGTCGGCATGGCATCAAGGTGGCAACTTGATGAGGCGGACTTGGCGCCCAACTCCCCTCGATGGTCATCCAAAAGTTAAGTATGGAGACCAAGCAGATGAGTTGAACTTGGTACGAAAGTGACTAGTTGACAGGGCATCAAGCCGGAAGGTACCAAGTTGATTAGAGGGACTTGGAAAAGGGTTTGGCAATAAGCTGGTTGTATATCAAGCCGGCGAGATGGATTTTCTCACAAACTGGTAAGACGAGCTTATCAACAAGGTTGTAGGGTATCAAGCCAATGAGACGGGTTGCGTACTAAGAAGACAAGTTGATACCATGATGAGCTCTCTAAGACTATGTGTGCATGCTTGTTAGCTAAGGGGTAGGTACTTATGTGGATGGGGTTAAGTTCTCATCCTTCCAAGATGGATAACAAGGCTTAGCTAACAAGACTCTCTCTGTGTCTCATTGACGTAACTGGCAAGACGAGGGTAGCAAAGAGAATAAGTATGGTCTCACCATAGATATTAGGGATCTCAAGGACCCCAGTGGAAAGGGGAAATGCGATGGAGAAAAGACAAAGAGGTTTCAACCCCTTCTAGTCAGAACATGGCAGTAAGACTTTGATGAAAATCACCTCAACACCAACCTGACCCCTTATTAAGGCCACCAAAACAAAACCAACTAGTCATCAAGATGGGATGAGGGGTCCCAAGGCAGCCTAGTTATTATGCTAACTGCATAAGTTGTTAATATATACTAACTAATATCCAAAATGTATGAACTAGTATCCAAGTCTGCTGATTTTACTAAAGTATCTAGATAGTATAGACTAGTATTCAAAACATCACAAACTAATATCCAGATAGCATATACCAACTAATATCCATAATCAACCAACTAGTATTAATATGGATACTCTTATGTATTATCTGGATACTAATTATGTGTTGTATGAATACTGTTCTGTGTTGTCTAGATATTAGTTTGTGAATTTGGGATAATAGTTGATTCATGGTGGATATCAGTTAGCAAACCTTGAATACTAGTCTGTGCTCTCTAGATACTTTAGTACTTGAATACTAGTTCATGTATTTTGGATATGAGTTAGTATCCGCTAACGAATCTTCAAGGTGGTGTGAGTACACACCAAGACGATGGTTAGTGGTTACCAAGGCGATGAGGATCCCGAGGCGGTTGGAGCAATTGGGCAGCTAGTGATTATCAATGTCGTTACACCTGATGGCTATAAATAGGAGAAACGAAGACATGAAGGGTGTTCCCAAAATCAACATTTGACACCTCATGTCAAACTTTATATTTTCTGTTAATTGTAGCTTTTAATATCTGGAGCTCTCATAATACATCTATAGAAGCAGGAGTAATACATCTATAGAAGCAGGAGTAAGTTAACTCAACTTGTTCTAAAAGCCATTCAAATTATCAAACACTCATTCTAACTTTGTTTAAAGAGGTGTGAACCATATTTAGATTCATATAAGTGAAAGGTGCAATCAATTATGTCAGCAAACATTGACAAAGAAATTTAAATAAAAGATTATATGGAAAAAATGCACAAATATGTTGGCGACAAATATTATCTGCTTGAAAAAATGGGAACTATAAGCCTCATCTCCTGTTCTGTTGAATCGTTATCTGAGAGTGCAACTATTAAGTACATATGTATCTGCCTATATATATACTGTTGTTGGCGGGCATGCAGTTTAACTATCTGCATTTTGCCTAGTAGTCTTGCCTAATTGTCCATTTAATTTTATTCCATTAACTTGCCAAAGAAGAATAAAGCTATCTGATTAATAACATAATACTCTACCGCCATCAACCCATAATGCCCTAATGGGGGCTCAGAACCCAGAAAACTGGAACTGGAAGCAGCCGAGGGGGATGCATCACTAGCTCTGAATATCAGACTCTTTGTTTTGGGTTGTCCTAAGAGGCTGATGAATCAGCCTCCACTTCTTCTGAACCAGACAGACCATCATCCATCTCTTGCTTTCCATCCCACTCACTGTTCTGTGATGCAGCCTCCGGCGATATCCTCTGCATCACACCTCCAATCCTTCTCATCACACCTCTCTTGTGCTCTGCATGGACCAACACACACACAAACACACACACCACATTGCAAGAATCAGCCAGAGCACCGTTCGATGAAAAAAAGATTAATAAACATGTCAAAAATGCTGAATAAGTTTTTTACTTTTGTTGGTGATTGCACTCCGTGTAATCGCTAAGAACTCGTCCCACTTGAATTCCCGAAGCTCTTGCTTCTCCTCTTCTGAGAGCTCAAAGTTAGGCTCCCTCCCACACATGAAAGCAGCCCTGCATTTGTCAAATATATATAGAAAGAAAACACAGGTTCTTATGTAAACATAGCGCATCAAGATGGTCAATAACGCTGCCATGATCATTGCTGTGTTCAGATTTACCTGTCATATAAACGAGCAGCTTCTTCTTGGGAACCAACCGTCCCCAGGTGGATTTGCTTCTTGTCAACTTTAATTGCTGCCTGCCATTTCATGTTCTTGAAATAAACACCCCGCATCACACACGGTTCTTGATTTTGAACATGCTTTCTTCTGTGTCGCTTTCTCCTCTTAATTGGTTGGTCTGCAAATAGAAAGATAACCAGTATACCAGGTCTCAGAAGATCACTAGGAGAAGAAGATAAACACAGCTAAGTTCACAAGATTGTTTCTTTCCTATAGGAATAGAGCTAAGGAAACAGGCACCGGGGGGTGGGGGTACTCTAGTGAGGAAGCTCTAAGAACACTTTCTCCAGGCAACAAAGAAATACAGGTTACGGTGCCACCATTTTTTATATGTAAAACGATGACTTTCCAGTGGAACCATGGCGCACCAAGTTACTGACTAATGAAGAGGCCTCTCCAATATATATGCTCTTTGTCCAGTCAGCTTTTCTTGTCACTATGCCAAGGTGAGAAATAACATATCTCACAAAGTCCACCTTGACCGAAGTGGCACCTTAAGATTTTGGTTGAGGGTTTAACTATCCTCTACCATGACCTATTCAATTACAGTGTGAAGGAGTCCGTTCCTCCCCAGCTCTCTTTAATCAGCACAATCATCAGCCTGTTTGTATTAGCCATGGCATGTAACCTTTCTCCCTAATTGCCAGGTAGTTTATGGTATAGTTCACATTTTCTACAAGGTTGCTTCATTTGTATGTTAAGAATAACACCTCATTCATTGGCTACCTACAAAAGCATTTCAACATACACCAAGATGACAATATGGGGGCATTGACAAATCCTACTAATGTAATGTAGCTAAAATGAGGTAAACAAAGTTATTAACCAGCAGGCAACACTGTCCAGATAGCTGTTGGATTATTTAACTGAAATGCATAATATGTATTAAACCACCTCGACCAACCTGAACAGGGCTGCTGCTGCTGCTCCTTTGCTGAACTGTGAAGTGACACATTCGACGAAGCAGGTCCACATAAGGCATAAATCTTCTGGAATACAATTAAAACACCTTTAGAAATATGTATATGCAAAAATACATTTGGTACATACTATATATACATAACATAAAACAGCTTGAAGTAGTGCTTCTTCCATGCCACCAGTGCTTGATACTGACTGAGCATTTTAAAAGCGAATCTTACCTCAGCTGATAGATTGGCTTCATCTGATGGGGCAGGTTTGATATTAACCGACTTGGCACTTGGTACAGAGCTTACAGGGACAGCTGCTTGAGGAAGTGGAGTCACAAATGAACTCCCTCCTGCAATGAGCCAAGCAATTGGAAGTGATACCAGTCGGGTATGTTAAGCGACATTGATCATAATAGGTATTGCTGTTAAAATGCCAACAGTAAAGATGATCTCCCCATATTGAACATGCATCCCAGTTACTGACTGCAAAGCACAGAGTACATAAGAACATGCTTTCTGAAGAGCAGTCTGTCGATCTCAAAGCACACTACATACCACTGCATAGCCCCAACAGTCTCCGCCTTCGCAAGCTCACCATGGCAGGGTTGATCAATTTGTTGAACAGTCAGAAGCAGCTTAACTGCCGGTCTTCCGCATCAGTCGCCTCCCCTCTGTAGGTAGGGAAAAAGGAATATCAGTTTTGGTGAAACATACAAATGAATATATTGAAACTTTCTAAAAGTAATGAGTTGTAAAACCAAGAATCAGACTTCATCAGCAAATCAATCCAACACAGCTTCATCAAGAATGACAATGTGATGTAACCTCTTCTAAAATTCCTAATGACCGACACCATTCAGGCAACAAAGAAGGAAAAGACAAAAAGCTTCATTGCACAGAAAAAAGCCCTGACATTCAGTAACAGAAGTTTCAAGTTGACCAGCTAAACGAGTAAACTTTCTCAGGAAATCAAGAGAATTCATCAACTGACAGCCGGTAAAAAGAAACGATTGAAGCCTGGAAGAACACAAACAATCCAAGGACTGTCAATGACTGCTCCAGAAATCAAATGACACGCTACATAACTTCAGACTCCAATTAACCAATGTGGGTCGAAGCACCTGAGGAACACGATCAGCTGGAAAATAGAAGAATCGTTGAGAAGCCAAAGCAGAGTCAAAAGAGCAGAATGTTGGAGCTAAAATCAAAATATCGGGGGAGCTTGGAACTGGAAATTGGGGAAGCGGATGGCCAAAGCAGGACAGAGGTAGCTGAAGAACAGACGATTTTGGACCACCACAAGAAAAGGGCAAACAAACTGATTACGCAACGAGTGGGTAGACAGAACGTGACCCGCGGCCCGTAGAAAGTCCAACCATAAGAGGAGAAAACAGGTCGAATTGATAAAGATCGGTGGTTGTGGAAATAGACGACGACTCGCGGCCGGAAAAAGGGCAGAGCTGGGGCGACGGCGGCGTGAAAAATGTAGATGGAAGAGGATGACAGGAGACAAAGGCGAACGTCGGCAGCGAGAAGACGAGGGAGTCACCTGAGGAAGAGCGTCAATGGGCGACGACTGGAAGAGAAACCGGACCAAAGTCAGATCTGGACAGAAAGGAGATGAAGGCGAGGAGACGCCGGCGACGGGCTAGAGAAGACCTGATCGGAGCTGGCCGGAGGAGGCAAAGGAGGTTGACTAGAATAAGAATTTTGATCTGCGAGAGCAGTGGGGATTGGGGTTCTGCGAGGGGACATGGGATAGGAAATCGTTCTTGGCCATAATAAAAACCCCATAATATATAAACATAAACATTTATCCCAATACCTAACACGCACACGGCACACCTAACATCTTGCGAGGGAAAAAAACCCCATGGTTGTGTCATGCCGGTGGCGAGGTTTAACCGATACCGGTCATGAAATCGGCATGAAAATTAACGATATGGTCAGCATGATTGATTTACGACTTGTAAGCAAAATACGTCGTTTTAGTAAATTTAATTAATACAAAATTAGGTTATTTTTTATTTTATGAGTTTAAAAGTTAAATATTGATATTTTGTTTGTTGGATTCAAATATAAATATTCATGTATTGACGTTAACTGTTGGATTTAAATATGAGTGTTTGTTATTTTGATTGCAATATCGTATTTTAATCAAATATGAATATAAATTGTAAGTAAGTTGTCTTCAAATACTATTTATATATCGATTAAATTCATTTGACGTGAATGATTTTTTAAATTTTTACATATTTTGTTAAATCGATACAAATCAATTGTAACACCGGTCGAACCCGAGCCATTTCACTTCCCTAACCGGCAATGTAATCCGGTTTGAGAACAATGGAAAAAAGCCCACAAAACTAAAAACTTGCCAATAGACTTTTCTCTCAGTCTTGTTCTGTAGCAAGAAAAGTCAACCCTCTGCCATGCCACCACCTGTCGCGGAATGATTAGAGTCACGGAAACGGAAAAACGCAGCCAAACTCGATTCAGAGGGGAAAAACCCAGCGATAGGAGGAAGAAAGTTTTGGGCCCCAAAACATCAGTGGGCTCGGCTAAGGCAAATATGAAGGCCCAAGACTTGAAGAATCATTGGCCCAAAGTTATAGTCATCGTCTTCACTACTGAAACGACGAACCACCAGCATTTCCCTTCTTCAAAATCCTCTCTTGGAGTTGGAACCAAATAAATCAGCAATGGTTGGAGAATCGTGAAGACAAACGCGAAAGTTAGAGGAGGGGAGAGACTTAGAGCTGGGCAATGGCCAGGGTGGAGTATTTTAATGTTCATATTTTTTTTCGATGAATGGATGGGATTTTATTCATATATACGATCAATACATTGTCTTATTTTTATAAAACCATTATGTCATCAATATAGCTAGAGAATCCTAACTTCTATTTACATTTTGTACATCTATTATAACTAGGATTTGTACCGAAGAACTCGAGCCGCTGGAGATGCACCAAAACCTTGGTCGCCAAGCTCCTTTGCCTCCATCACCATCTGCATCCTCATCACTAGTTCATCTGCTAGTAGTTGCTTCCCTCCATAGAGCCTTCTGCATCTCTCTCTCCAAACTTCACTTAACACTAGACACCAAAGGATCCTTCCCACCTGACTCGCTCCTAGCTTCTCGTTTGCTGTTACCACTGCTTGCTGCAAGCTAGCCTCAATAGGAATCTGCCATGAAACATGAAACATGAAACACAGTCTTCCAAACAACCTGCATATAACCACACTGAAAGAAGATATGGTCACGTGATTCATCTTCCAGTCTACGCAATGGGCATATTACATTCACCTTTGCATTCCAACGCTGGATTTTATCCAGTATTGTGATTCTCCCCAAGTCCCCAACAATATAAGCTATACTAGCAACGAATTTTTGGGTATACCTCCCTTCCATATCAACTTTGCCCATACCACTGTCTTCCCTCGTGGTCTTATGCTCTGCCACACCTTGTTGGTTTGAAATCTAGTCATTTCTACTCCCTCCCATTCCACACCCCGTTCTGTTCTGCACATTTTTCCTGCAAATAGATTTCGAAGAAGCTTTAGGATTTTATTCCAAACCCAAGAGCCTCTCGTCTTTACTTCCCAGATGCTAAGGTTTCGAATCTGTACTCCTTTAACCAGGCGATCCAAAGGGTTTTCTGATCAAAAAGTATCCCCCACAGATGTCGTGCTAAACACGCTTTATTCCAAGAACTAAGGTCTTTGAATCCTAGACCACCTTCAGCATGAGGCAGAGCCACCATTTTCCAAGCCACCCTTGCCTTTTTCTTCTTCTCTAAGTAATGTTCATATTTGTCTCGTATTAGGTGTGGGCTAGGTCAGTCACTATCTATACGAATATGAGGCACGATATGTTGATTTATTCTTATATGTTATTTGTAAAAAGAAAGTTGATATTTAATTATTTTATAAGAAAATATAGAGAAAACAATTCATAAATGAAAAATAAAGTAGAAAGAATAATTGAGTCTAAATATTTGAAAGATAGAGTTCTAAATATTTTTTGTGGCAGGTTAGGTGTGCCAAAATTCATAAATAAATAAAAATATTTTTTATGTCCTCAAAGCTGACGTGGCAGGTGAGGTGGACATTGACTAACGGTCAACAAGTTTGACCGTCTAATTTAACGGTCAAACCCACCTTCGGGCCAAATGAGGAAGTTTGCTACATAGTTCAGGCCAGAATAACCTGAACTATGTGTATAGTTCGGGCCAAAGTATGTGTATAGTTCGGGCCAAACTAAGATACTAACCCATCAAAATGATATAAGAAGACGTAGCTGGAGCTATGTTGTATCTGATAGCATGGGTCAAGCACAACGTGTGGCGTATAATATGCAAAGTTTCCAATTAGTAGCTAATGTTTTTAACTTTTTATTTTATCTGTTTTTCCTTTTCACATTGTACTTGCTTTAGAAGAAAGGTTATCTTCTTCTCCCAAGTGTGTTTAAGAAACTTGGTATGCTTCAAGTAGTGATGGCAATGGGACGAAGCGAGTAACTCAATGCTCATATCTGCCCCATATTAAGCACGAGTTAGGTCTGGTAATATTCGTTTGGTACGAGTCGAGGTACATCGACCCACTTTTTAATATTATTTGTAATGATAAATTTGAGAAAAATAGTTTAGAAATATAAAATAGACATAATAGATAGATTATTTGAGTCCAATTAATTGAAAAATGAATTCTTACACCTATTTAAAGAGTCATTGGGTGAAAATATTGGTTGATATAAGTCGAAATAAGAGAAATAAAAAGGCTTAATACACTTTCATAGCCATAACTATTCGCGTTGTGACAATTATAGCCACTTTTTGAAAAATACACTCATATAGCCATTCTGTCAATAACTTTAACTGCATCACTGTAAATGCTGAGTAGACAAACGTTTTTTGCTGACGTGGCAACTTTTCGTCAAAAAAATGTCACGTGGAAAAATTATTTTTCATTTAATTGTAATTATATGAAAAAACTATAAAAAAATAATATCATCTTCCTCCAAACACTAGTAATCCCTCTGCCTCCCTCGACCTCCCATATTCGACCACCACCGTGAAATAGTCTCTGATTTTCCAATCTCTTCCACTAATTCTTCCTCCTGCTCATTTATTAGGAAATCCACAAAAACTTACCGGAAAAACCCCTCCATATAGCCTGCAATTTCATCTTCTCATTCACACTAACTAGAAACAGAGCAAATCAAAGCCATCAGAGGGAGATTCTAAGAAGAACCCAGTCCAAGCGTTGCTTCCCCTGTATTTGGTTCTCTCGCCCTCTGCTCTTGCCGACAAAATCTATCAGTTTTTCTCGACATCGCCACCATCGCGCTGCTTCCGCCTCTCGCTCCACTTTCCAGATCTACACCATCTGTCAAAGCATCGATAAGGCAGGGGGTTTCTCCGACATTGATATCCGACTTGGGCCATGACGCCTACTCGAGCGAAAAACCCAATCGTTGCGCATGCCTCTCTCTTGGTCGACGAACTGGGTACATTCGAAGATGTTGCTAACCTGACTTGCGAGACGGATCGAGCACGAGACACCAAGGGAATTTTCTCGACAGAGATGGCCACATCTTTCGACATAATAGCAGGCCAGCAGCTGGTTGATTAGGGATTTCCCCCCTCTGGCGAGCAATTGATGGTTCTTCTTTAATCTGAATTTGGGTTTTGACTTTCGAGTTTCGACGAAGAGATCTGTGGGTTGGAGGAAGGTGAACGGGCTGTGTGGGGATGGAGAAAAAATAAATTAATATAATTTTTTTAATTAAAATATGATGTGGCATCTAGGTGGTATGGTTTGTCTAGTTGGAGCTGATGTGTAATCCGAGCTGGCGACCACATCAGCACAATGTTAATGTTACTAACGGAATTGCTGACGACGTTAAAGTTTGTAACGGAAGTGACCAAAGTTGTCAAGCAAGTTTTCAAAAGTGGCTATATGAGTGTATTTTTCAAAAAGTGGCTATAATTGTCACAACGCGAATAGTTATGGCTATAAAAATGTATTTTGCCAAATAAAAATATATATTGTTACAAACAGAGGAACAATTGGTCAAGAACGGGATGAGATTTTTTGGGGGGGGGGGGGGGGGGCATGGCAAGACGAAAGTAGGTATCCATACCCCAACACACGCTACTCTGAGTCAAGTATTACTCGCCTTAGTGCGGGTCAGGTCGGGTAATACCCGACGAGACGGGTTCAAATTGTCATCACTAGGTTGAGGGAACTTGTGATCTACTTTAAGAAACTTGTAGTTCCATATGCAAATTACAGTTTGATACCTAAACTTAATAGATTTTAAAATTTAGTATCTAAACTTTT